GAGAGTGGGAAGCTGAATGGACTGGAGAAGCATAGTTTGGTGGTCGACCAGCATTAAAGACCCACTTCATATTCATAGTCATATATTTAATTCTAATACTTCCCAAAAGTTTTTTTCTGTAATTATCCCTTGTTTATGCAAATACCAGCAGACACTGGAAAGCTTCTTGCTTCAGCATACCACTAATTAAATCATCTTTCACATTTTTTTTAATTTAGTAATTTAAGTTTTTTAAAATGCAGTAATAAGGAAAAGATACCACTGTGACTCTTAGAATATGATATCAATAAAAATAAGGAGAAATTCAAATTTTAGGTTGCCATATGGATATGGTTTGTTTGGCCCCACCAAGCCTCATGTTGAAATTTGATCCCCAGTGTTGGAGATGGGCCTCATGGAAGGTGTCTGGATCCTGAGGGCAGATCCATCATAAATGGCTTGGTGCCATTCTCATAGGAATGAGTTCTCACTTGTAGTTCCCATGAGAACTGTTGTTGAAAAGAGCCTGGCACCACCTACTCTCTCTCTCTCTCTCGCCTCTTCTCTTATCATGTGATCTCTGCACATGTCTGCTCTCCTTCCCCTTCCACCATGAAAGGAAGCAGCCTGACATTTTTACCAGAAGCAAATGTTGGTACCATGTTCCTTATATAGTCTTCAGACCTCTGAGCCAAATAAGCCTCTTTTTTTTTTTTAAATAAATTACCAGCCTCAGTTATTTCATAGCAACATAAATGGACTACGACATGGGTTAAGAGATCCATTGCCATCCTCATTTTGATCCTCACCCTCCCTTTCTTCTCTTGTGATGGGTCAGAGAGATGAGTTAGGGAAAATGCATGGAGATGATAAGAATCCACGGTCACATCTTCTGTGTTTCCTAGCTATTCTGCATTTAGCTCTTGACTCACCCATCTGATAAAGAATCCTGCTCTAAGGAAATGCAGTTACAAATATATTTTGCCACTCATTGCAGAGAGTCATGAAAGGGGATCATGAGTACTTGTCAGACCAGTACTGTTTATGTCAATTGTTAGTTCCAAGATGATGAAATTTGGAGTTGGCCATTTGCTTTCTCTGAGCCAGAAAATTAGAATAATGCACAGGTAACTGAGTATTAACTTCATCTCCAAGGTCTTAAATTCTCTTTGGGTTTGGGGTCCTCATTGCAGTATTTGAACTCAGACTTAAGGACAGCAAATGCACACACTTATTAACCCACCCTCCACAGGAAATCCACATGTGTGAATAGCATAGATACATACACACACTTATTCATATGTATTATTCTTGTTCCATTAACATGCCCTTTTGTGCGCTTCAGCTTCAAGAGGACCCTACTCTCTTACTCAATGATCTTTTTACTCTTTTTCTTTTTTACTTCCAGCTACTTTTCCCATGAGAATTGTCCAAATATTCTCATTTCCTTTTCCATTTTCTCTAAGGAAATGGAAGTAATTTGGTTTCAAATATGAGATCAAATGATCCAATGTAGGCTTCATCAGTTTTCTCACCCTTCATCTTAGAATGTTTCTCTACTATCACTCTTCTTCTCTTTACCTTCTTTTGTCAGAGATAAGTAACTCCTCCTATTTCTTCAAATCTAATTCTTCTATTTTGTGTCTGTAACCACTTCCCTCCTGACTGCTCCAGAATCTTTATGACTTTTTTAAATGACTGCTTCATAAATTTCTTTCTTGAAGGTCATTGATTGTTTCCAAGTATAATGGACTCTTCTCATTTAGTCATTCATTCAACAGATATTTGAGCTTATACCATATACCAAACCTTATATTAAATGCTTAGGCAACTATATAAGAGAATAGGGAGCTCATAATCTATTCTCTGAGAGCAAGGGTTGACAATTTTTTTTTTCTTTTTTCTTTTTTTTTTAGTGAAGGGACAGGTAGTAAATAGTTTAGGCTTTATGGATCATACCTTCTTTGGCATAACTACTCAACTCTACCCTTACAGCATGAAAGTAGCCATAGACAATATGTAAATGAATAGGAGTGGCTGTATTTCAATAAAATGTTATGTATAAAAAATAGGCAGCAGGTTGACTTTGGCCTGGGTGTCATAGTTTGCTGACCCCTTGGTCTAGTGTTCAGTTTTTCTGATCTGCATATAATATTGATTACTCTTTACCACCCCTCTTTTGAAATCCTCTTTTGAGTTCTGGAAACTCATTGGTAGTCCTACCTCTCTTAAAGCCTATTCTGTGTGTCTTTCCTACTTCTGTCTACTAGGTTGGCATTTCTCAAGGTCCTGTTTTTTGTCCTCTTGCTTGCCTTCTCTGAACTTTCTAGACATTGCAGTATCTGAATTGCTCTCCTGACCATTCTGCTGAATCTATTTTCAACATGTCTTTGTTCATCTGAGCCACCAGCATCTCCCACTTTGTACAACTAAAAATGAAGCCATTGTCATTTTCATCTTTCTAACTCTTCCCTATTCCTTCTTTTTGCTTATCTGTCTCATTTTCTAAGTGGAGAACTTTGCCAGGATGCTCATAGCAAAGTATTCGAAGAGCACACAGAAAACTGTGACATCCCTCTTACCTCTGGAAGATTAGCCACTCTATAAAACACGTTCACTTTTATGGAAGTTAAGGAAGGTCATTGGAGGACTTGGCACAGAGTCTTCACCCAGCATGTTAGGACCTCCAGCCACTTCTCAGTTGGCAGTCCCTGTTGGGCATAACCAGCTGGCCCCTGTGTTTTCTTGTTGACCCATGTGAGCAAAGCTTGCCCTGTAACTTGCAGCTCTTTTCCAGAATGTGCCCTGACTTGGGCTTTGGCAATAAAGTAAGCGCTGTAACTTTAACTAGCTCTTCCTTAAACAGTACCACCTGTTGCTATCTATCTGTGAATTTACTCCATCTTACTCAAAGGCAGCAGATGCCATGGGCATTTTTCCTACTGTATAAAGGAGAATGGGAATCTGGCTTCTTCGGGAAAGGGAGAGTTATTGTCTGTTTCCCCAAATGATTGGATGATCACATTTTAACTTTATATGTTTCATGGCTCTAGTTCTTGGAAATACATGGAAGATTGAGGTTTGACTGCTTCCTGCCACTGAAATAGCTCCCTGGTGGTCATTCATAATTTAGTATATATGATTTGAATTACATTAATCAGATAAACATATTCTGCTTCTATAATGAATAATGCTAGAGAGCATTTAGATATTGGGGATTATTACAACAATTTTTATTGTTCTTGGCTTACTACAAAAGTAACACATGACCAGCATTTGAAAATTGAGGGAATAAAAATCTAGGTAATAGAAATGGAAATAAGCAAAAATTTTTGAAAATCTTATAACTCAGAGATAACTACTTCTAATATTTTGTTTTTAAAGACACATATAAAGTGGAAAATTCTGTAATACTATTTTGCTTTTTTCACTTGATAGTCTATCATGAACCCTTGTGAAATGAAATATTTTAAGACATATATATGAAGGGACCAAGGAGAAGCTTTGCTCCTACCCCATCTTTCATGTACCTACTTCTTATCCTCCACTCCCCATAGGTAATTACCTCTTTCATTGATTTTTTTGAATATCTTTTCAGAGTTTCTTTAAATAATATAAACAACTTTAAGTACATACTCTTATTCCCCCACAGCTTTTATAACACAAGGTAACACTCTATACATACATTTATGTCTTGATTTTCTCACTAGAAATACCTTTATACTCTTTCTGCAGCATTTTCAATGGCTACAGTATTATTCCGTTCCTTTATTGTAGTGTAAATTATTTAATTCCCTATTTTTGGACATTTGGGCTATCTCAAAACAATCTTATAGATGTATCTTTGCATACAACCCATGATTATTTCCTTAGGATAAATTATTTGAGATTATTTGCTGGACTGTTGCTTCATGTTTCCAAATTTTTCCTGAAAGGTTATTCCACTTTATACCTTCCCCAGCAAGACTTGCCAACAGGTAAAAGGGGGAAATAAGTTAAAAAGAGGTTATTTGCAACAGTGAACTTTAAAAATATTATACACAAGAAAAATAAATACAGAAAAGCAATGGTAGATTGACAGTTTTCAAGTTATGGAAGGAGAGGAATTCAGTGAGAGGTGACTGGGCACAATTGAGAGAATATATTGGAACTGGAGTAGGATGTGAGTGCTAGTCTTGCCGCTGACATGGGATGTGGGATCAGTCACTCAGGTCTTCAGATGTGTTTTCTCATCACTGAAAGAGGGAAGAATGCTTACTGAGTTTATTTGGCCCATTTTGTTCTAAAAGGATTTATGAAGATGGAATATGAGGGAATCTTTCAGCTCTAAACTTTTTAATTTTATAACTGTACCTTCATTTTCAGAGGAAATAAAAATTGAGCCTCTACTTATTATTGAAGGGTTAGACCTCTCTCTTCCCAATACCCTGTGCTACTATTCTCTCTTAATTTCAGTAAATGCTAAGCCCAAACTTCTCACTCTACCTCACAGAGCAATCTCTTAGCTTCCATAGATAACCTTTCACAAAATTCAGTGTGAATTGGACAGGGAATAATATTAAAAGTATAAAAGGTTGATTCTTGGCTGCAGATCAATATCAATATCTGTATCTATCTATCTATCTATCATCTCTCTTTATATATATCACTCAGGCATTTAGCTGTAGATGAGGAAACATTAATCTGCAACATCAGTAAGAGACAATGATGTGACTTCCACAGATACCAAATTTGGCATGGTGGTGGTATTAGATTTGCCTCCTTGTAGTGCAGTGATTAACAGATGGCAGGAAAGGAGGCTGAGCAAGAAGGGAGGAAATTCAAAAACTGCCCCTAATCACGCCTTCCTGATGTGGAGCTCAGCTATCGGCCTGTGGGCAAGTGTTCAGTCATTGGTCAGCTCAGTCTCAAAGCTGGGATTAGAAGCTTCCCTGATTTCATCAAGTAAGAACTTTGGTCACTGAGATGAGATTGGTCAAGAATAAATACCACGTGCAGTCATTTCCTTCCTTTCTCTACAGCAAGCAAACTGAAAAGGATCCAGGTGTGCAGGAATTGGAAGCATTAATAGACACAATTCAGAAGCAACTGAAAGATCACTCATGCAAAGACAACATCCGTGAGGCATTTCAAATTTACGACAAGGAAGCTTCAGGATATGTGGACAGAGACATGTTCTTTAAAATCTGTGAATCACTTAACGTCCCAGTGGATGACTCCTTGGTTAAGGAGGTCGGTATGAATTACTCTTCTGAGTTGATTGCAGAGGCTAAGCACTGATCATTCTTTCCTAAAGGCAATTGTATATGTATTTCACTACAGCGGACACAGATTTAGGATGTTCAGATCAGATCTACTCTTCTGTCCTGATTAGGTATTGCCCGTTCATTCTAGCATTGGCATTCTTTTATAATTGCTGTTGCAGGGCATCTCTTTAAGTGGGCCTGGGGCTGGACAACACAGAGTGGTTAGTAGACCAACATGTCAGGACTGAATAAGAGCAACAGAGATGATCCAGGAGGGGCAGCTACCAAGGGGAGACTCAAAGATGTTGATTGAGCAGACTGCTTGGCAACCTTTGATATCCTTCACAGCTGATACCTACACTGGCCCATCAGTAGGGTTAGCATGGAAGAGGGCGTGACCACTGTGGGAGGGCTGTGGCATCTGTCAGTAATGGTAGCATGACCAGCAGCAGATGCAGAAAGGGCATGGAAGTTCAGTTGAAGGAGGACTTTCATGCCTTTTCTTCATTATAAACCCTTTAGCCAGGGTTCCCTTGGAAGTCAGAACAAAGTCCCCCTGAGAAATGCCAAGGACTGTGGCTTATTATCATTGAGACATTCTTACTGAATAAGAATATTGAGGTTCTGTAGGCCCTTTTAAAGATCGTTTAGCCAAAACAGGTGTTCATAATTTAAGAGTCATTTAGGAAAGGGTTTGGTTTAGGGCTAGTGACTAGGTTGGAGACAAGGATTTGTCATAGAAACATTAGCAGGGAGTGAGTAGGAGAGCAGATAGAAGAGTATTTGTTTATGTGGACCAAACACACATTTAGCTCCTCAAATTTTAGGTTGACAGCATGCCCAACTTTTGATTTTCAAATTCTTCATACTGTCTGATGTGGGAACTGACATGGGAGAGAGAAATGGCAGTCATTGACAAGTGCAGCAGGGAAGTGGGGGTGGGACAGATTTGCATATGTCTTATAAAAATAACCACAGAAAATCAGTCCGTTACCAGTCACAGTTGAGTTTCAAAGGACACAGGTTGAGCAGTGGCATAACCAGACCCTTCCGTTAGGCTGCGGTAGCAAGAGCCTGCTATTTAAAAAGTCTTACTCCTCATGAGCTGAGTGGACAGTCTTTTATTTGAATATAAAAACAACTAAAAGTGCTTTTATAAATATGGATGTTAGTTCTGAAATCTTGGGAAGTGTGGCAGACTGCCACGGTTACTACTTGAGACCGTCACTACAACAATTACTACTGTTACTACTTGAGACCGTCATTATGAGAGTTAATGAAGGAGGATGAAAGCAGAAATGAAAACTTAAAAGAAAAGTAACTATTTTAAAGGAAAGGAAAGAAGAGAGCTCCCTGCTTCTAGTGAGCAAAGGCAGCTGCCCGAGCCTCTACACCCCTTCATCTTTATTGGATAGAAAGAACAGGGAGAAGGAGGTAACGATTGGTCAGTTGCTTAATTGATCACAGGTTCACATTATTGCTAACAGGCTTCAGATGTGCCTAATCACAAGAAACACTTGTGCCTGGGTCATGACTGCCCTCAGCATTCCTTCTGGGCAGCAGATGCAGTTTGTCAGTTTGCCAACATCCTGCTTTCATGAGAAAGAGTTTGCTGTTTACTCATATAGCCTCCAGTGATATACTGAGTTGATCATGACCCTCAGTCTTTCGACCTTCAACAGGGAAGGTCATTTACTCCATCCATCTTTGGTTTCATTAAGTGTAAGATGGGGATGATATCTGTCCTACCTGCCAGGTTCACAGGATCATTTCAGAATCAACTTGAAGATACAAAAATTCTGAACTGATTCACAAAGGCTGGGGATCATTATGTATAAGCGCACTCTGCAGTTGAGCTGATGGAAGCCCTGCGGATCTGTCTCACCTATTCTCTTTGCTCTCTCTGCAGTTAATCAGGATGTGCTCTCATGGAGAAGGCAAGATTAACTACTATAACTTTGTTCGTGCTTTCTCAAACTGACCTGCTGATGAGAAAATGCAAGACAATTTCTGATACTGGAATTATGCTTTGAAATACACCTTACACTCTTCATAGAGGCATTTACAGAGTGCCTGAAGTTTTATTTCTGTTTTGGTTCTTATTTCACTACTACTGAAATCGAAACTAAATTGGATCTAATAGGATCTAAGATTGGTGCCTTATTTAGGGCAATGGGGTATAGCAATGTCTAATTTTGTGTGTCAAATTGACTTGGCCACAGGGGGCCCAAATATTTCCTTCCTTTCTTTTTTAAAAAATATTTTAAATTTTTTTGGAGATGGGATCTCACTCTGTCATCCAGGCTGGACTGTGGTGGCACTATCCTAGTTCTGTGAAGCCTCAGACTCCTGGGCTCAAGTGATCCTCCCGCTTAACCTCCCCAGTAGTGGGACAACAGTCTCAAGCCGCCATGCCCAGCTAATTTTAAAAATTATTTTGTAGAGACAAGGTCTCATTATGTTGCCTAAGCTTGTCTCAAACTCATGAGCTCCAGAAATTCTACCACCTCAGCCTCCAAAAGTGCTGGAATTATAGGCATGAGCCACTGTGCCCAGCCTCAGATATTTCATTATTCTGGGGGTTTCTGTGAAGGTATTTTTGGATGAGATAAACATTTGAATCAGAAGACTAAGTAAAACAGATAGTCCTCCCTAATGTAGGTGAGCCTCCTCCAATCATTTGAAGACATGAGTAGAATAAAAAGGCTGACCTTCCCCCAGGTAAGAGAATTCCTCTTGCCTGACTGGCTTCAAATTGGGACATCAGCCTTTTCCTGCCTTCAGACACAAATGCAAACATCAGCTGTTGGTCTGGAGCCTGCTGGCCTTCAGACTGGACCTAAACCATCAGCTCTCCCAAGTCTTAGGCCTTTGGATTCAGACTGGAATTATACCTTTAGCTCTCCTGGGTCTCCAGCTTGCCAATTTACCCTGCAGATCTTGGGACTTGTAAGCCTTCATAATTGTGTGAGCAATTCCTTATGACTCTTTCTCTCTCTATATATATTTATATATACATATATGTGTATATATAATATATACATATTATATGTAATATATATGTGTATATATAATATATACATATTATATATACACATACACACATGTACATGTTTATATGTATATATGTATATGTGTATATATGTACACATATATGTGTATACATACATCCTATTGGTTCTCTTTCTCTGGATAACCCTAATTCAGATGTAGAATGATCAAGAGCAGGAGGAATGTTAGAATTCTCTAGAAGAATCATCTGGGATGTTGGAATCAGTATGCAGTATCGCTGTTGCTGCTAGTCAATGGCCCCACCACCACCCATCTGCCCACCCTGATACTGAGGGAAATATACACCCATTTTTCAAACTGGTTCTAGGCCCATTAGACCTGCATTTAAAAAAAAAAAAGAAGAAGGAATATAATAGAAAATATCTGGTATACCTAGCAGGGTATTTTTTCTTTTTTTCTTTTGTTTTGAGCAAGACAGAGGCTCACTCTGTCACCCAGGCTGGAATGCAGTGGCGTGATCTCAACTCACTGCAACCTCTGCCTCCTGGGTTCAAGTGATTCAGCCTCCCGAGTAGCTGGGACTACAGGCATGCGCCACTATATCCAGTTAATTTTTTTAATTTTATTTTTAGTAGAGACGAGGTTTCACCATGCTGGGCTGAGGCTTCTGTTTCAAATGAGAGTGGATTTACTGGATCATCATGTAAAATGTATTTCTTGATGTGGGTTGTAGTAAAAAAATAAAAATAAAAAGATTTGGCTGGGAACACTTGCTCACACCTGTAATCCCAGCACTTTGGGAGGTGGAGCCGGGTGGGTCACTGGAGGTCAGGAGGTCGAGACCAGCCTGGCCAACATGGTGAATCCTCATCTCTACTAAAAATACAAAAATTGGCCAGATGTGGTGGCGTGTGCCTGTAGTCCCAGCCACTCAGGAGGCTGAAATGGGAGAATCGCTTAAACTCTGGAGGCAGAGGTTGCAGTGAGCCGAGACCACGTCCTGCACTCCATCCAGCCTGGGTGACACAGCAAGACTCCATCTCAGAAAAAAAAAAAAAAAAAAATTAGAAAAATACTGCTTTTAGAGAGCCCAGCCTTGAGAGAGGAAGGAAAGACTAGTTGCAGTTACTATCCTTTAGTGAGCTCTGATTGGCTTTTTAGAATCAGGGCTGCTCTTTGGTTGAAGTCAGCCACTAAGTTCATCTTTAAACATGCTATCTCAAATTCCCCCAAGCCACCCAAAACATGGTATGAGTGAGGATAGAGTTACATAGAATTCAGACTGCTTTGCCCTCTCAGAACTTCTAGGGAACTTCCCTTGGTGTTTCCTTCCCTAATGAGCTCAGCCACTTGTAACTAGCTTATTGAAAGGGCTGTAAATATATTATGTTGACTCCTTTTCTGTTCCAGGTTATTATCTTGGGAATAACCCATGTTTTGTTTTGTTTTACCTTCAGTCGCTCATAACTATTTAAAACAGTATCTCACTTTCAACTACAGATGCTCCTCTACTTATGGTGTTATGTCTCAATAAACTCACATAAGTAAAAAATATCACAAGTTGAAAACACATTTAATAACCCTGATAAGCCCATTGTAAAGTAGGAAAATAAGTTGAACCATTGAAAGTTGGGGTCTATCTGTATTTTACAAGTTTTTTCAGTTTAAAAATTACCAAGCTGTATCCTGCCTGGCCCAGCTCAGTCCTTCCCTAGGCTTAGAAGCCTGTGGTAGAGAGTGTGTATACTGGGGTGATGATAGTGGTTCCTTCTTCCTCCCTTCTTTCTGTCTTCTCCCTTTGTTCCTATTCAGCTGTGCTGCTGTTTCTAGCCCATGTAGGCTCTGGGAAAGGTTAAGGGGGTAGAAACCAGAGAAAAAGGGCAAAGTCTTATTTCTGTGGCTAGTAATGGCATAATGTGGGGCCCAGTCTCTAAGTGACATGTGCCCAAAGGCTGACTCTTTCTCCCAGAGCACCTTTTTTCTCTTTTTGGATTCAGGGGGTACATGTGCACGTTTGTTACGTGGGTATATTGCACCTAGGTAGTGAGCACAGTACCCAGTAAGTAGTTTTTCTGCACGTACCCCCTCCTTCCCTCCCCAGTCTGGTAGTCCCCAGTGTCTATTGTTCCCATTATTATGTCTATGTGTATTCAATGTTTAGCTCCCACTTAGAAGAAAGAACATGCAATATTTGGTTTTCTATTCCTGCATCAATTCACTTTAGGATAATGGCCTCCAGCTGCATCCCTGTTGCTGCAGAATACATGATTTCATTGTTTTTTATAGCTGCATAGTATTCCATGGTGTAGATATACCACATTTAAAAAATCTAATCCACCACTGATTGGCATCTAGGTTGATTCCATGTCCTTTGCTCAGAGCCCCATTTTGGTGAGTACTTAGAACTCTTTCCAGGCGGAAACTGCCCAGTGCACCACTCTCAGGTGGAAGGGACCCAGTCAGCACCCGACCACCCCGGCTCTAATGGCATGCTCTCCAAAGCTCCTTCTGATCTTCCCAGGAGGCCCTTTCGGGCTGACACACCTTCCAGGCTGTGCACTCTCGCCATGTTCTCACCCAGATGGCTCTCTTGGCTGTGTGATTAGGCAGCTCAATCCCATTCCTTTCGACTGTTTCAGGGGAGAACCAGGTACCCCAAACCTTGTGCTCTCCAAACTCCAGGGGACAGACACGTGTCAAACCCTGAGTCTTTTAAAGTATCCTCTCACTTAGCTTGCAGACCCAAGGTACTCTAACAGCCTCTTTCAAGCAGCTTGCACTTTCTGGTATTTTCTCCATCACTCTTGCCTCCTGTGGTAGAGTCGCTTTGGGCTCCCCCTCAGCAAATCATTCATGGATCAGCAGCAAATCTGCAACATATGGAAATATTTGCCAATTTTTGTCCTCAGCGCTGGATCTCAGCCAAAATGGAGATTTAGGAAGTTCTCATTTAGTATCCTCTAGCCTGCTTTTGGTTGTTTTGTTTTTCTGTTTGTTCTGTTTGTTTTTTAGAGACAGGGTCTTACTCTGTTGCCAGACTGGAATGCAGTGGTGTGACCATAGCTCACTGCAGCCTCAAACTCTTGGGCTCAAGCAATCCTCCTGCCTCAGCCTTCTGAGTAGCTAGGCCTATAGTCTCAGAGGGAACTGTCTTCAACAAAGCTGGCACTATCCACATCCACTCCTTAAGTTTGCTGTCCACTTCTTGCCTTGCATCTCCTTTTAAGTTTACTTAAGATTGAGAAGCTGATCTCTGACAGCACCATCACAAGGTATAAAAGCGATTTCATGAAAGACCAAAGCCAGCAGGCCATTTCTGTGGTGTCCACACACTTGCTGCTCACCTGTTAGTTTATACAAAGCAGCAAGGGTAGGAGCCACAAATGTTACAGCAAATCACTTTTTTCTACTAAAATCCTGAATGGCAGTGCAGCCATTGGATGTCACTAATTACCTTGTGCTACAGTCACAGCTGGCATGCATCTGGAGTGTCAGGCTCAGGTGATGGAAGAGAGCTGAGCATTAGCCTGTAGCAAGCAATATTGTAGGAAGCAGAAATGATCATCACTTCAAATTGGCCACCAGGGAGTTGAAAGATTCTAATACACACACACACACACACACACACACACACACACACACACACAGTTGAAAGATTCTAATACACACACACACACACACACACAGAGAGAGAGAGAGAGAGACAGAGAGAGAATTAAGATTCGCTCTGGTAGCTGAAGCTATCAGGTCTAACTGAAGAATTTGACTAAGACTGCTTATAGTGCTTTTGGCTTTGGGACAAATAAAAATCTGCCTTGTGGGTAAAGATGGGCTGTGAGTTAGCCACTACTCAGAAACCTGGGCCTGTACCTTGTCTGCACCACCAGGGGGGCCTTGAAAATACCATCAAATTAAGGTGTATCAAATCTGTATCTATAGGCTTTGAGGGTATTTGGGACAAATAGGTAGAGAAGACTTCTCTAAATGTTGTCTCCAGAGAATCAAGGGTCACTTGGGTAAGTGACTCCTGAATATCCTGCTGGCACATAAGTTCATTTTAAAAAGCCAACTTGAGTGCTTTATATGTACCATGAACTTAGCATTCAGTATCTCTAAGCCTCTCACCGCCATTC